CAGGGTGTTAGCTATTTGATTTGACTTGGAGCTCAGCTCTTCTGGGGAAGAAGGACCTATCCTACAGCATTACCTAAATAACAGTAACCTCCTGGCAACATCTCAGCTACTTGAGCCTGTGATTAAATGTGGAGAAAACAGCCGGACCCTGTGGCTCAACCTGTAATCCCACGCCTTTGGGAGGCTGAGGTGAGTGGATTGCCTGGGCCCGCGGGTTCAAGACCCGCCTGGGCAGCGAGACCCCATCTCTACAATAAATCAAAAAATCAGCCGGGCGTGATAGCGCGTGCCTGTGATTCTGGCTACTGGGAAGGCTGAGGCGGAAGGATCGCCGGAGCCCAGCAGGTCAAGGCTGCAGTGGCCGGGAGCGGCCACTGCACTCCAGTCTGGGCGACCCAGTGAGACTCCAACTCAAAAAAAAAAAAAAAATGTGGAGAAAACAAGATCCTGGTCAAAATATAAAGGGAAGTCCTGGGAAACTAGATAACCACAGGCAACCTGGAAAAACTACAGCATATTCTTGGGGAACCAGAAGACTTCTTTTGCAAGTGCCTAAAACAACACCTAATACTCAGCTCCTTCTGCTTGACCTTGAGACCCTGCTTAAGCAAGAAATGAAAGCTAAGGCCGTCCTGTAAACTGAAGTTTGAAGGCATACTTTCACATACAAATCCCCTTGACAAAGGATGGGAGACATAAGTCAAAATACTTATATGTAGGGAAATCTTACAACCAGTGACTGGCTAAATAATACTGACCCAAGTATTTCTCCTAGGAAGTCAGATGAAAAACAAGAACTTTAAAAATAAAAAAGAACTTGGGAGCAGGCACTGCTGGGAATATAGAATCTTCAAAATTTACTAAATGAAAAAAGTCACTAAACAAACAACTGGGTGCAATGGCTCATGCCTGTATTCCCAGCACATTGGGAGGCAGAGGCAAGAGGATTACCTGAACCCAGGAGTTCAAGACCTGCCTGGGCAACCTGACAAGACCTTCTCTCTACAATAAAACAAAAAATTAGCCAGGCACGGTGTTGCACACCTGTGGTACCAGCTACTTGGAAGGCTAAGGCAGAAGGATCACCTGAACCCAGCAGGTCAAGGCTGTAGTGACTGTGAGCATACTCCTGCACTCCAGCCTGGGTGACAGAATGAGATTCCAACTCAGAAACAAAGCAAACAATAACAACAATAACAAAACAACAGCAAACCCTTGGATGGGGTTGGGTGATACCACAGTTGTCAATCTCTAAAAAGTACAGTTTTCAATAATTACAAGACATGTAAAGAAATAGGAAAGTGTGCAGGTATGCATGTATGTTTGTTTAAGCAGAAGATGTACCTGAAGATGTTGGACTTGGTAGATATAAATTATATACATTTATAATAGATATAGATAGGTAGATAGATAGGTGGGTAGATATGTCTTTTCAAAGCCCTAAAGGAAACTATGCTTAAAGAATTAAAGGAAAGTATGACAACTGTATCTCACTAAATAGATAATATAAATAGACAAGAAATCATCTTTTAAAATCAAATAGAAATTCTGGAGTTGAAAGTACAGTAACTGAATTCAGTACAGGTCTCAACAACAGATTTGAACTGGCAAAAGAATCATCATAAATATAGATTGATTGAAGATATCCAGTCTCAATTGGATAGAAGAAAAAAGAAAAAATAATTCATAACTTCAGAGACCTATGTGGGCACCATCTAGTATACCAACATATGCATAACAGAAGTCTTAGAAGGAAAGAAGGAGTAAGGGACAGAAAGAATATCTGAAGAAATAATGGCTAAAACCACCCAAATTTTATGACAAACTAATATGCACATCTAAGAAACTAAGTGAACTCCAATTAGGATAAACTCAAAAGAGGTCCACACTCAGACACGTCATAGAAACTGTCAAAAGATAAAGAGAGACTCTGGAAAGCAGCAAGAAAGAAGCAACTCATCACGTAAGAGGCTGAGGTGAGTGGATTGCCTGAGCCCATGGGTTCGACACCCGCCTAGGCAACTTGGCAAGACCTCATCTCTATAATAAATCAAAAAAATTAGCCAGGCATGGTAGCGCACACCTATAGTTCCAGCTACTTGGAAGGCTGAGGCGGAAGGATCGCCGGAGCCCAGCAGGTCGAGGCTGCAGTGGCCGGGAGTGGTCACTGCACTCCAGTCTGGGTGGCAGAGTGAGACTCCAACTCAAAAAAAAAAAGAGATTCTCAATCAAATTAACAGCTGGTTTCTCTTCAGAAACTCTGGAGGCCAGAAGGCAATGGGATGATACATTCAAAGTGCTGAAAGAAACAAAAGTGTCATTCAAGAATTCTGTGTCTGACAAAGCTATCTTTCAAAAATGAAGAGCTGTAGACATTTCCAGAAAAACAAAAGCAGTCTTCATGACTAGCAGACCTGCCCAAAATCTAAAGGGAGTTCTTCAAGCTGTCTAGTGACACTAGACAATAACTGGAATCCACACAAAAAAGTAAAGATCACTGGTTAATCTAGCTGTGCATAAATATAAGAGCTAGTATAAGTGTGTTTATCTTATGTAGTGCCTCTTTTGTTTCCTATATGATTTAAAAGGTAACTGCATAAAGTAATATGCATAAACTTGTATTTATGGGCTAATAATGTATAAAATGTGATTTATATAAGAGTAGCACAAAGGAGGGAGGGAAGGAACAGAACTACATTGGAGCAAGGTTTTTATATGCAGTGTGATTTACATTGGTACTAATCTGAACTAGATTTTTTAAAAGTTGAAATGCTAATTTCAATTCCTAGGACAATCCCTAAGTAACTCAAAAAAAAAGATGATAAAAGAAACAAGATTTCCCACCAAAAAAGTGAAAAAAATTTTTTAAAAGAAAAAAAGAACAAGGCAATTAAAATGATATGCTAGAAAACACTTACTAAAAGAAAGCAGCAATAAAGGAATAAAAGAATCTAAAATACATATAGAAAACAAATAGCAAACAGGCCAGGCATGGTGACTCACACCTATAATCCCAGCACTTTGGGAGGCCAAGGTTGGAGATTACTAGGCCCAGAAGTTAGAGACCAGCCTGGGCAATGTAGTGAGATAAAGAAAAATATGATCCAACTAGGTGCTGTCTACATTAGACATACTAAACTTGAAAACAAAAATGTTATAGAGATAAAGAATGACATTGTGTAAAGATAATAAAAAGGTCAATACATAAGGAAGATATAACAACTATAAACATATATGCACCTAACAAAATACACGAGGAATTGAAGGGATAATTCAACCATAAATTGAGATTTTAATACCCCACTTTCCATAATGAATCAAACAACTAGGCAGAAGATCAACAAGGAAGAGAAAATTTGAACTACACTATAAACCAACTAAACAGACATGTATAGAATACCCCACCCAACAATGGCAGAATGTGCATTTTTCTCAAGTGTCCATGGAATATGCTCCAGGACAGAGCATATGCTAGGCCATAAAAAATCCTCACTAAATTTAAAAAGATTGAAATCATACCAGAAATGTTCTCCAACCATAATTGAATATTAAAAATCAATAACAAAAGGAAATTTTGGAGATTTTTAATTGTGTGGAAATTAAATAACACATGCCAAAATAAACAATGGTTCAAAGAAGAAATCACAATGGAAATTAGAAGATACTTTAAGGGTAACATAAACAAAAACACAACATACCAAAATGTATAGGGTGCAGCTAAAGCAGTTCTTAGAAGGAAGTTTATTATTAGAAATGCCTATATTAAAAAAATAAGTAGCCTAATCTTCCACCCTAAGAAACTAGAAAAAGAAAAGCAAAGTGTCTAACTTCTGCAAAGCAATATTATTTTTTTCTGAAATAAAAACTGAACACACACACACAAAAGAAAAGAAAAACTAAACCCAAATCAAGCAGAAGGTGGGGAATACTGAGAGAAAATAAATGAAATAGGAAATGGGGGGGAAAGGTAAAGCCAATTAAACCAAAATATTGTTTAATAGTAATACAACTGAAAACCTTTTAGTTAGACTGACCAAGAAAACGAGAACACTCAAATTACTAAAATCCTGAATGAAAGAAGAGACCACTAGTGACCTTACAGAAAAAAAAAGGAAGATACACAAATGGCCAATAAGCACATGAAAAGAAGTTCAACATCATTCATCATTTGGGAAATGCAAGTAAAAATTACAATAAGATACCACTTCACAACCACAAAGATGACAGCAATGAAAAAGATAGACAAAAGGTTTGGTGAGGATATAAAAATATTCGGACCACTGTATATTGCTGGGGGGAACATAAAATGGTGCGACTACTTTGGAAACAGGTAGTTTCTAAAGATATTAAACACTCAGGTATATAATCAAGAAAACAGAAAACATGACTAGGTACAAAAACCTTGTCTATGAATGTTCACAACAATATTATTCTTAATAGCCAAAAAATAGAAATGACCCAAATGTTCATTATTTAGTGAAATTAATTAATGAAACAAAATGTAGTATATTATACAATGGAATATTATTTGGCAATTAAAAGTGATAAAGTATTGAAACATTCTACAGCATAAGTGAAGCTTGAAAACATGCAAAGTGGAAGAAGCCAGTCACAAAGGCCACACTGTATGATTGCACTTGTGTGAAATCTTCAGAACAGGCAAATCTGTAGAGACAGAAAGCAGATGAGTGATTACAACAGTTGGAAGCATGTGGGTTAGAAACAAGAGTGATTGTTAATGTGGATGGAGGTTTTTTTTAATGTGATGAATATATTCTAAGATTAGATTGTGGTGATGGCTGAACAACTCTGAATGTACTCAAACCATTTACCCATACATTTAAATGGTATGTGAATTCTTTCTCCATAAAGATGTTTTCTTTAAAAAGTGAATCATTAATATTAATGAACTGGATATTTCATTTCACATTTTTATACTTAAATGATAAGTTCTAGTACCTAAATTTTTAACATTTTATCATTTTTATATTTGATGGGAGCAATGTTTCCAACATATTTTGTGTGCTTGTTTGCTTTTAATAATTCTAGCTGGGCAACTCAGCCAATCAGCACATTTAGCTCTCCAACTACCATACAACGTACTTGGTCTAGGTCGAAGTGCAAATTTTCTTGACCATCTTTATGTTGGTATTCCCCGTCCATCTGGAGAAAAGGTGAGTAAAAATTTAATTTGTTTACAATTAATCTGTGTTTTAGTATTCACTATTTAAATACTTAAGTTCAATCATTTGAATCCAATTAAATTTGACTTCAGATAATTCAAATATTTATTTCCTTTAAAGAATAAAGAAAAGAAAAATTTGATGGGTGCAGTGGCTCACACCTATAATCCCAGCACTTTGGGAGGCGGAGGTGAGAGGATTGCCTGAGCTCAGGGGTTCGTGACCAGCCTGGGTATCTTGGCAAGACCCCATCTCTACAGTAAATCAAAAAATTAGCCAGGCAAGGTGGCATGCTCCTGTAGTTCCAGCTACTTGGAAGGCTGAGGTGAAAGGATCGCCTGAGATGCAGGTCAAGGCTGTGGTAGCCATGAATGTGCCACTGCACTCCAGCCTGAGCAACAAAAAAAAGAAAAGAAAAAAAAAATGTATTGGTAATGACTGGTCTAAGCTTATCTTACATAAAGCACAGTATGGTTTGAAGATATTTACAGTTTTTTTCATCTCTTCTTCCTTAAACCTCACTTTTTCTCCTTAACAGTTTTTGCCACTTAATATGTATACATAAAATATTTTAGTAACAGAAAAATAGTACTGTTATACTTATATGTTATATATAGTATAATGTATATTATAATATTATTTTACTTATTTTGTTTACTGTCAGTGTTCCCCCCCTTGAATTTTGGCTCCAAGTAGCATTCATACATAACACTGTGAACAAAGACTGTGACATATAATTGTTCAATAAATATTTGTTGAATGAGTTCATAAGATTAAATACAATCCTTCCCTGAAAAGATCAGAAAATTTTTCCAACAGATGGCACAGGAACCCTATATTTGGCTTAATATATGTGAACATAGCTTAATTCACACCCAGGATTTAAATTTCTCAAAGTACTTGAGATTTTTCCTATTTATTTAGAATAATATTTGTGCTTTTTAAATGTACTGAATGTTAAATGTTCTTAAATTCTTTTTTCAGTCTATACGAAAACAAGAGTGGACTGCAATTATTCCAAATTCCCAGCTAATTGTCATTCCATACCCTCACAATGTCCCTCGAAGGTAATGTTCTTGCTTGACCTAAATTTGGTGAAAATACTGTTAACTCTGAATCATAGATACAGTTACGTCTTTTTAAAACTCTTTTATTCCTGCTGTATTCCCATGAGTACCTATTCCTTAATTCGCTTACAGCAAACTTTAAATGACTAAACATACTTAACATAAAAGGTCCCTGACATTTTTCATAAAGAACAAATTCAATCCTATTAGAAAAACAGCAGGTTAACTAATTAGGGATTTATACATATTTTGCTTAAATAAATTGGTATTCAGTTTACTAGTTATAAATTCCAAATTTTCAGGATACTAAATTTTTAAATAAAGCACTGATCTTTTCAATAAATTATTTGAGAAGTGGTATATATCCCACAGTGGTTGAGCACAAGTCTTGGAGTCAAATAAACATAGACTAGAAAAAGTCAGCTCCACTGCTAACTAATTGTAAAATTGAGAGCTAGTCCTTTGTCCTCTCCAAGGCTCAATTTCTTCACCTGTAGAATGAGAGATAAAATACCTACCTTATAGAATGAAGATGAAATATACTTAATACAGTGCCAAGCTTATAATAAGTAAATGGTAGGTATTGTTATCCTTATTAGCACAATACTATTGCATTTAACTCTAAATCTTTAATTTATCTGTGTTATAATTACTAGATTGATTCTATTCTTTTAAAAGTAAGTGATGAAGGTATTCACTAACATTTAAATATCACAGGGAGAAATTTACAAGTCTGATATCAATATGGGAAAATAACCAAAGAGAAATGGTGTAATTTATCTATAAGTATGTAACCAGTGGAGTCCCCTACTTGTTATAGATCTTCTGAAAATACAAGCCGTATTGTTCTTTATTAAATTTTTAGAAGGGATGTATCAGTAGTGTGATAGAACCAGCTCATACTTCCTCATGAGTTGACTGTATATCTCTATTCAGTGAAGTCACATTAAAATCTATTTTGGTTGGAGAATCTACTCCATGAAAATTGGTAAGTGCGATAAATTAGGGGTCCCCTCTCCCCAGCCCTGAGAGAGCTGGTTTACCAGCATATCACTGGATGTACTTTATGGTAGATTTATGGGCTTTAGAACCAAACTGTTAAGAAAACAAACTTTATCACAGCATTATGCTTGGAATAAGATGATATAAGTAGAAACAATTATAGTACTCATTCAGACTTTTTTAAATGAGCCAATATTGTATGTTCATGTTAGTTTTCTATACATGTAATATATAGCAAAACTAGAAAATCTGGACCACGAATAAGTAATTATATATAGTACAGACCAGGCACCATGGCTGTCACCACCCCAGCAATGTGGGAGGTCAAGGTGAGTGTGTCTAGGAGTTTGAACTGTGGTGGGCCATGATTGTGATTCTGCCACTGTACTTCATCTCAGGCAGTACAGTGAGACCCTGACTCAAAAATAAAATAAAATAAAACAATAAAGTATAGTACTTCTAAACAGTGCAGTATCACCTTCTTTTTTTTTTTGGTCTTTTACTACCATGGACATAGAACAATCTCTTAAGATGGAGTGGTAAGCAATAACAACAACAAAAAAAACGGAGCAGCAAAATGTAGAAAAGTATGTATAAGCAACTATAGTGATTTTAAAAGACATCTATGTGTATATATTTATATATGTAAAAAACATCTCTTAAAATAGTATACAAGAAACTGGTAAGAGTGACTACCTTTGAATAGAAAACTGAGGATTGGCTTTTTTGCCCTACTTTTTGTTTTTTAAACCAAAATGCCTATATTCCTGATTTTTTAAGATGTATTTTAAAAATAGAACTGCCAAAACGTCTTATAAAATACCTGTTTTTTTAAATACAAGTAAAGTAACTGAGAGTAGCTGACTTCAACTAATTAACAGTGTTTTGGGTTGTTTTGTTTTGTTTTGTTTTTGAGTTAGAGTCACACTGTCGCCCAGGCTGGAGTGCAGTGATCCAATCACAGCCTACCACAGCCTCAAACTCCTGGGCTCAGGTGATCCTGCCACCTCGGTCTTTCAAGTAGCTGGGACTACAGAATCACACCAACATGCCCAGTTAATTTTTTTATTTTTGTAGAGACGAGGCCTTGCTACGTTGCCCAGCCTGGTCTCAAACTCCTGGGCTTGAGCAGTCCTCCTGCCTTGGCCTCCCAAAATGCTGGGATTACAGGCATGAGCCTCCGCACCTGGCCAGTGTTTGTTTTTCTAAGGTTTACTTACTCTTCTGAATTTCCAGAGACATTCTACTACAGCTTTCTTCCATAATCTCAACATTTTTCATATTTATCTTGCTTTTTCCAAAGAAATATTCCTTTTAAATTTATATACATAATAAAAACCAAATTAATGTTAGTTTGAGGTGTATTTTGAGGTTTATTGACTAGAGGCTAACTTATGGATCAATAAATTTTAATTATCCCAAAATAAATCAATAGCTACTTGCTATTTATCAGAACAATCTTACCTTTATTAAACTTTTAAAATGAAAATATATCTATTATCTATTTCTAAAGAAAACAAAAAGTTCTATGCATATAATAGCCTGTAGTGTTAGTGATACTGACCTTGGCTTTAGGCTTTTCAGGGTTTCCTAGTGCTGTGTTACGCGGATTGTTTTAGAAGGGAAGAGTTAATTGTATTTATGATAAAGACTTTTAATCTGTTCATTGCCATTAAGAGTGAGGGACTAAAGTTAAAAGGTGCTATTATTAAAGACCTATAAGGCACTGTAATAATATAAACCCTCCAACATCACACAGAAATGGTAGAATTTTTATACAAGCCATCTACATGCAAAACATGGATGTAGCCGGGCTCAGTGGCTCAGCCTGTAATCCCGTGCCTTTGGGAGGCTGAGGTGAGTGGATTGCCTGAGCCCGTGGGTTCGAGACCCGCCTGGGCAGCAAGACCTCATCTCTACAGTAAATCAAAAAATCAGCTGGGCGTTGTAGCACATGCCTGTAATTCCGGCTACTTGGAAGGCTGAGGCGGAGGGATCGCCGGAGCCCAGCAGGTCAAGGCCACTGCACTCCAGCCTGGGCGACAGAGTGAGACTCCAACTCAAAAGAAAAAAAAAAAACATGAATGTTTTAATTGGTCATACTACATCTATGGACAGGGGAGTGAAAATAAGATGATGTAGAAGGCTTATAGGCTCATGTAACCATCAAGATATCAGATTCAGCAGGTAAATCAAGATGTAAAAAAAGGTATCTAAGATTATCCAAAGAACCACTGACAAGTTTACTTAAGAAAGATCAAACTTAGAAAATGAAAATTATTGAAATAACTCATCAAAAATTCTACTGCAGGGCAACCATTTCAGGTTCCCTCCCACTTTGGGAACTTTTCTGTCATCTTAATAAATTCTGCTTTCTCACTTAAAAAGAAAATTCTACTGCAGTTCTTTGAGTAAAACAGAAACTCTGCAGAACCATAGCTGTTCTTAGTGCTAATTCAATTGCTATTGTTTTATTTTTAATGAATAGATGAGTGAATGAGTTAATGAGTGAATGAACTGTTTCATTCATTAATAAGCTATTTTGCTTTTTGGTCTCAGTATAAGTTTGTTGTTTTAAGCAAAATTTGTCATTTTAATTTTGTACGTTTTTATCCACAGTTGGAGTGCCAAACTGTACCTTACACCAAGTAACATTGTTATGCTTACTGCTATAGCTCTCATCGGTGTCTGTGTTTTCATCTTGGCAATAATTGGCATTTTACATTGGCAGGAAAAGGTTCGTTCATTTAAATGAAACATTAACTTTGGTGAATTTATTAGTATAATACATTGCTCTTTAAAAATACTGCATTTATGTTAAACTTTTTTCATATGACTAAATTTCCTTGTTTCAAGTCAGTCCAGAGTGTCATTTTATTGATGATAATTTCTTTTATCCCCTGAAGTCACCAATGTCTTTTATCAATTCATACAAATCACAGGAGAAAACTTTCTAAAAAGTTTGATGCTCTACAATGGTAATAAAATGATCACCCAAAAATCATCAGGCATATAGAAAAACTTAATTAGAAGTAACTTCATAATGGCCTAAAAAATAATGATCAATTTTTTTTAATGAGTTTATGTTCAGTATCTACTGATAGAGCCACGGACATTCTTTTTGCCAGGATTAACAAGCTATCTCTTTTAAAGAATTAGATAGAGCCCAGGGAGGTTAAATGATTTTTTCAAAGTTTAAGTGGAAAGTAACAACTAAAGCAATAAACATCTTTTTTATCTATAAAGTATTCTTTGCATTAAACTATTCTTTCGTATAATACTCTAAATAATAAATTGAAAACAAAATTCCCCAAAATGTACCTTTTTATGTGAGGTTTATGTGGAGAAAAAAAAGAGCCTATCACCATAAATTTATTAGTAGCTTAAATATAAATTATAAAAGCCAGTTTCTATTTGTATATGAGTATATATTAAATACATAACTAATAATTTCCAAAAATATCCTCAAAAAAGGACTTCTTTGTATCACAAAGAAAGGTGTTTTTTTTCTTTTTTTGCACCCACTCTCTTTGGATTGGCATGCCCATCGGAATCATTTTTTGCTAACAAAAATTATCTGTTTTATCTTAGCTGCTCTTTTAACATATGAAAGAAAATGCTAACTGTTTTAACCTATTGTTCATAGGTTCGTCTCTCAAAAATATCACTCTTTTACATACTAAAAGCAATAATATGAAATTACATATTCATTTAACCTTAAAATTGCAGAAGTATCAGAACACAGTCTGAAATATTACATAGCTCTTGACCTAGAAAAGGAAATTAATTTCTCAGGAGATCTGATTACAACATAAACTGTGGGCTTACAACAATGATTATACAGTGATTAAAAATTAAAGCTTTAAATACAGTAATATATTTGACCATGTATATATTGTGTCTCCTGGAGCACTGTGGTACCTCAAAGAGGTAGAATGTCTTCAACCACTTTTTTACCTAAGCTGACTACTCCTTTCCTCTTTTCCTCAGTGCAGGGTTTCCATAGTGTCTGTCCCGGGCCCTCTTCTACACTTTCCCTGCCATTTTCATCTAAATTCACGGCTTCAAATAGTACCTCAAACATCCCCAGACCTCCTCTCTAAAGGTCTCTTCCCTCATTTCCAGCTGTCACCATGATATCGCAACCTAGATTACATAAAAGCACTTCAAAACCAATATTCTAAGGCTCATCTCTCCTCTTTCCTACTTATCTACAAGATGTTATCAGCCACCCTGTAGCTTCTACCTGCATAAGAATTTCTTCAGCTGACTACTTCTGCATTCTTGCTACCACTGCCTTAGCTCGGCCCCTTATGTCCCACTTGGGCTTTCTGATTCCATTCTCTCCCCTTTTCATTCCATTTATCACATTGCTGCCAGATTAAGTTTATCCTTGATCATGCCCCTCCCTGCTCAAAGACCTCTGGTGACTGTCCATGGCTTTTATGCATAAAATCCTTAGCCTGGCCTTAATATTACTTCCATGTGACCCCACAACATACTTTCCAGTTTTATGTCTTATCATTCCTTTCACATATTCCTTGTTCCTTCTAGACTTGCCATGATTGCCCATATTGTACCCTCAACTTGGAATGCATGCCCTTCCATTTCCATAAACAATGTTCAAAGCTTTCTCTTTCCTCTCTCTCTCAGACATGGTAACATTGTTCACTTTTTATCTTGAGGTACAATTATACAGTATGTTTTGCTTTTGTCTTTCTGAGCTTTAAGTTTAGGGTGAACAAGATACAAAACTGAGATTTTTTTAGTCCCTGAAAATGAAAGCACAGTACCTTGCTGGGAGCAGAGGATCAATAAATATCTGCTAAATCAATAGGTCAACCAAAAAAGAATTAGTACATTAGTACTTTAATATAATGAGCTTAGATTTGTTCATTAATATCAATGTTAAGAATGGGAGAAAAATGCAATGGATGATTCTATCCTTATAGAATGTAATGCTCACTCCCAGTTTCAAATAAATAATAACAAGCTAAGTAGTTAAGGAAAATTTCTTAGTGACTTTTAAATTCAATTAGATCATTAATTATAAAATAGCTATATAAACTACAAAAATATTTTTTAAGATTATTGCATGATAAAATCATACCTGTTATCTATTAATTACTGAGGACTTTTAAAAAATGAATCACTTTGTATTTCAGAAATGTATCTTTTCTTAACATTTCCCACCATTTCTTAAGAAGTCTAAAATTCTTTTTCAGAAAGCAGATGATAGAGAAAAACGACAAGAAGCCCATCGGTTTCATTTTGATGCTATGTGACTGCCTTTAATACTACATAATGGAATGGCTATTCACTTGATTAGTTGAAATACTAAATTGTGGCTTATAAAAAAATGCAAGAGTTTGAATATTATTTATAAATTATGCATCCTTTGGTAATTATTGGAAAGTATTCAAATAAATAAGGTCTGAATGTGTCACAAGGTCTTTTTTTAAAAAAACATTTTGTATATAAAAATTTGAGTTCTTGATTCAGTAGTGCTGTACATTTTTGTTCTTTTGTTTAATATGTTGCATGTACTCCGGTGTTTATGTATTTATAATCTTATTAGAGTAATGATGATGGAAAAAGACAGGTGTAAATAAAAATATTAAAATGAGCAGGAATTTTTGTGTCTACTTGAATTGGTCTTACTTCTTATTCTAATGATGCAAATTAGACTTTTGTTAATGTATTACAGAGTTATTATACATTCACCTTCATCATGGCAGGTTAGGGGTCTCACTCATGGCAAACAACATAGTGACGGGTACTCTGACATGTATCGCAGTAAGACTTGCCTTAAACTTCTGGTTCCACCACTTACGAAGTTACTATTTAAACTTGGCTATTGCTTAACCTCTATAAGCCTCAGTTTTCATATTTATGCACTGGGACTAATAATACTCGCTTAAGTTATTATAAACATTAAATTGGATGATGTATGTATGTATGTAAAGTGCTTAGCTTCGTGCCTAGCACAAAGTAAGTGCTCAATAAGTGGCAGTTGACATTATTACTACTTTTAGATAATTTTCTTAGACTTATACAACTAATTATTAATACACAGAGAATTTTATTTTCAGGCATGAGGAATTCATATTCTTTGGAAAATCTAAATTCTTGGCAATTGACAACTTATATAAAGATTATTTGCTCATATTAACTAAAAATTATAGTACTCTCCAAGAGTTAATATGCCCTAAAAATTTTCATTTGGAAACTGATCCTTATCATGTGATAATGAACATTTGATTTCTTGAAAGGAAACTGCTGTAGGCAGCATCTCGGAATGCAAATCTTCAATCACATTTCTATTCTCAAAGGCTTGGAGAGTCTATAATTTACATTCAGACTTCAGTGCAAATTTTATACTTGTGAACTTCACACTGCCAAAAAAGTCACTTAAAAAAACTTAAATCTAAGACTGGTGAAAGGTTTATTCATCAAGGCTAATAATTTTCTAATATGCAAATGGTATGTAATGACTAAAGTAAAATTTCTCTAAAAACAGTTACTTTTGTTCATGTTATTTTTCTTACAATTCACTGACAGTAGCATGCATCTTACTTTGTATTTGAGCATGATGTCTTCTTAATAAATGTTCCTTATTGAAATAAAGTATTTTGGTGACTTTTTACATTTTTTTTGCAGTACAAAGAGGTCTTAGAGGTTATAAAATCACTTATCTGAACTGGGATACTGAATGTCTTTGTGGGCCAGAGGCAAAATGGGACTCTCCTGACTATGATATTCAGTTAAATTTATCAAACAGTTATCAGCCGTAACACTGTGCCAGGCACTCTTCCACACTCTCCCAAAAACAATTAGGCTTAGTATCTATGGATTGATATAACACGAGTCTTAAAATTTTGGAGTCAGGGTCTATAAGGAATAGTGTTACAAATAAGATGTTCATGACAATTAAAAATATAGTCAGTGACATTAATACTGTTTCTGTATTTCCAAACACAACTTTAATTTCATTTATAAAAGGACAGCAGGTTAAAAAAAAAATCACAACATTGAGAATCGTTAATGAAGCCCTTCGTATTAATTTTGAATATTATAGTGGAAAGAGAACAAGACTTTGAAGTTAGACAAATCCAGATTCAGAGCCCAGCCCCCCTATTTTGTGATTTTTTAATTCATCACTTTATTTATTGAACTCTAGTTTCTTCATTTGTAAAACAAAGACTGCAAACCGCCTACCTTAAAGGACTGTTGAATCTGAAATTGCAATTTGCACACAGCAGTTACTTGCTAAGGGCTGGTCCTTTTCTTCCTAACCACTTCTCATTACACTGACAAACAATAACTTAACATTTTTTGACTTTTCTCTCCCACTGATAATTATTTGTAAACCCTTCTCCTTTTGGGAATCAGGAGGGGTAATTAAGCTTAATAGTCATTTTGAAGACACTGTAAATACATTGTTAATACACCATTTATTTGAACTAGCCCTTTACATTTCCCCATCCTTATAAATAACTAAAATTTCTCAAAACAAACAAAAAACTCAAAAACTTAAATTGTGTCCAACAGACTTTCACAGTATATCTAGGTTTAATCTAGAACACCTAAGGGCTTACTCAGTATAAAGGTGGATTAAAGAGAACCAACCCTTGTTGCAATCTAGCTTTGCATCATCTGGCCAATTATTTTTGAAGACTAATAAAACAGATAATACACTGAGGAGTGCTTTTGATCCATAATTGTATGAGGGAAAGGAAATACATGATTGGCCAAAAGGAGAAATGGAGTTGTGATGTGTTTTCAGTGGACTACCTCATACAACCCTATATTGAGTTCTGAAATAGGATGACCTTTCTTATCTCCTAACCTGTCCCAACTTAGGATAAAAAGATTGGGCTTTCATACCATCACATTCACCAGGTAATGGGTATAGGCTGCTCCAATGGCCTCTATCAAGAAAAAATAACCAGTATGAGAAATAAAAGCCATAACTACAGATAATCTATATATTAAAAATAGAAGATTTTGAGAATAATCTTATACCAATGAATTTTAAAGTTTATAGAAAATGGACCAATTCCTAGGAAAATATCACCAAAACAGACTCAAAATGAAAGAAACCCTGAATAGTCCTGGTGGATGCTATGATGTGGTTGGTGTTCAGACCCTGCATCAAGAATAAAGGATTTATTACCCTAATTTTTTGGCGTAGCATCACTATTCATCTGTCAGCCTCATCTGAAGAGAGCAAACTCAACCAAGATCACTACCCTCTTCTTGACATAAAAATCCTAAACATAAGCCGGGCTCAGTGGCTCAGCCTGTAATCCCTCGCCTTAGGAGGCCGAGTGAGTGTATTGCCTGAGCCCACAGGTTCAAGACCCACCTGGGCAACTTGGCGAGACCTCATCTCTACAATAAATCCAAAATTAGCTGGGCGTGGTTAGCACGAGCTTGTAGTTCCAGGTACTTGGAAGGCTGAGGCGGAAAGATCGCCAGAGCCCAGCAGATCGAGGCTGCGGTGGCCAAGAGTGACAACTGCACTCTGGGTGACAGAGTGAGACTCCAACTCAAAAAAAAAAAAAACCAGGCTTGGTGGCTCAGCCTGTAATCCTGCGCCTTTGGGAGGCTGAGGTGAGTGGATTGCCTGAGCCCGCGGGTTGGAGACCCGCCTGAGCAGGCGAGACCTCATCTCTACAATAAATCAAAAACTAGCCTAGCATGGTAGCATGCACCTGTAGTTCCAGCTACTTGGAAGGCTGAGGCAGAAGGATCGCCGGAGCCCAGCAGGTCGAGGCTGCAGGTGCCAGGAGCCGCCACTGCACTCCAGTCTGGGCGACAGAGTGAGACACCAACTCAAAAAAAAAAAATCCTAAACATTCATAAACTAAATATAAAAAAGAAAAACTGACGGACCTATAGGGAGAAACAGACAAACACATGATTTAGGTGGGAGACAAATAGGCAGAAAATCAGAAAACTTAGAGAAGACCAAACATCACTATCAACCAACCTCAGTATTTATCTAACATGCTAACCAACAACAGCAATTACTGTCATTTTAAATACACATGGAACACTTACTCAGATCATATTCTAGGATATAAAACAAAACTTACCAAACCTAAGATAATAGAAATCAGACAAAGTAAATTATCAGACTATAATAGAATTAAACTAGAAAGATAACTGGAAAATGCCCAAATATTTGGAAACTAACACTTTTAAATAACCAAAGGGTCAAAGAGGAAGTTTCAAAGGAAATTTTTAAATATTTTGAACCAAATGAAAATTAAAAATACAACATACCAAAATTTGTAGAAAGCAGTGCTGAGAGGGAGATTTATAACATTAAATGTCTATGTTAATAAAGAAGGACGATGATAAAGGGGCAATCCCTTCGGGTCCCCTCCCACTATGGGAGATTTTCTGTCCTCTCAATAAATCCTGCTTTCAAAAAAAGAAAAAGAAAACGATAAAGAAATAAAGGAAGACTTAAAACGGAAAGACACTGTGTTCATGGATTGGAAGAAGCAACACAGTAAAGGTGTCAGTATTCCCAAAAGTGATCTGTAGATACATACCATTCCTATCAAAATCCCAGTACTGCAGCATTTTTTGTGGATATAAACAAGCTTATTGTACAGTTTATAAGAAAGAAAAGGAACTAGAATTGTTTAAAACAATTTTGAAAAGACAAAGTTGTAGAAATCAAACTATCTGACTTTAAAACTTACTATAAAGCTATAGTAATCAACAGTGTGGTATTGGCAGAGACAAACACATAGATCAGTGAACAAAATAAAATCCAGAAATAAACCCACACAAATACAGGTATTTGATCTTTGACAAAAATGTAAAAATGATTCAGTGGAAGACAGCCTTTTCAACAAATAGTACCAGAACTATTGATCTTCTGTATTTGCCATAAATACAAAGGGCAAAGAAAAAAAGAACCTTGACCCAAACTTCACACCTTATACAAAAATTAACTCAAAATGGTCATAAACTTATATATAAAATGTAAAATTATAAAACTTTTAGAAGAACACAGGAAAATATCTTCATTAATTCCAAGTTAGGCAAAGCTCTTAGAAATGACACCAAAGTATGATTTATAAAAAAACTAATAAATTTACCTTCATCTAAATTTAAAATGTGTGCTTTGACAAAGACACTTTCAAGAGAATGAACAGACAAGCTTCATATGCAAAGAAAATGTTTTCAAATCACATATTCAATGGCAGACTTGTATTCTAAATAAGAAGAGAGCTTTCAAAACAACAATAGGGGCCAAGCACCATGGTGCACACCTGTAGTCCCAGTTACTAGAGAAGCTGAGGCAGGAGATGACTCGAACCCAAAAGTTAGTGTGATCTATGATCGCATCACTGCACTCCAGCCTGGACAATAGAGAAAGACCCTGTCTTTAAAAAAAGAAAAGAAAACTACAAAAACCACCCAGACAAGATGGCACCAAAAGTGAAGGAGGAAGCCCCTGCATTGCCCAAAGCCAAAGCCAAAATAAAGGCTTTGAAGGCCAAAAAGGTAGTGCTGAAGGTGAACATAGCCACAGAAAAAAAGAAGATGCACATTTCACCCACCTTCTGGTGGCCCAAGATGTTGTGGATCCAGAGGAAGCCCACAGACATTCTCAGGAGAGTGCCCCCTAGAGAAACAAGCTTGCTGACTCTGCCATCATCAAATTCCCCTAACCACTGTGTTCACTATGAGAACAATGGAAGACAGCACACTTGTGTTCACTGTCGATGCCAAAGCCACAAGCGCCAGCTCAAACCTGAGTAAAGAAGCTCTAGACACTAATGTGGTCGAAGTCAAAACCCTGATCAGGCCTGGTGGAAAGAAGAGGCTGTGTGTTCAATGGGCTCATGATTATGATGCTTTGGATGTGGCCAACAAACCTGGATAATCTAGGCTGAGTCAAGCAGGTTAATTCTAAATATTCATCCTTTCACCATAAAAAAAAAAAACTCGTTTGAGTGGGCAAGAACTTGAGTTGAAAACATTTTGCCAAAGAGGATATATGAATGGCAAATAAGTACATGGTAACATGTTCAACATCAGTAGCCATCATGGAAATGAGTATTAAAACCATGAAGAAATACCACTACACACCTACTATAAACAAACAATGTCTTCATGGATAAAACAAAAAATACTAACATTTCAAAGTGCTGATGAGGATGAGAAACAACTAGAATTTTCATATATCACTGGCGGGAATGCAAAATGGTAAAGCCACTCTGGAGAACAGTTTGGCAGTTTCTAAAATCAATTGCATTTTTATATACTAGGACAATCAGTCACATAATAAGATTTAAAAACAGGTAACATAACAGCATCAAAAAAGTGAAGTACCTAAGAATCAATATAGCACAAGATGCACCACACAGCTCTATCAGGTAAACAGTAAAACTTTCCTGAGAAACACTAAAGAAATCTTCAATAAATGCACATCTGTACCATGACCATGGATAGGAAGACTCAAAATTGTAAAGATGTCCAATCCCCAACTCCACTCAATATTCTAATGGGTTTATATTTCCATATACATGTTAGAAACAGCTAGATTTGATAAGCTGTTTCTAACATGTATATGGAAATATAAAGAGAAAAGAATAGCC